AGGCAGAGGGGGCACCACCGGAGCAGGCCGCAGGGACACTGTGACCCCCTTAGTTGGAACCAGCCCTTGTGGGCTCACACCTCTCGCTCTGGCTGCTCCAAGCCTGGATTTGCAGGGAAGTGATAGTGTGGTAGTGATTGTGGGTGCTGGGGGTTACCCTGCTGCTCGCCCGGCTGTCCATCCTTTGTGCCCGTGGATGCCCCTTTTTGCTGTTTAGAGACAGGGATTGTGACAGTACCAGTCACCTCTCCCTCAGGGCCATTGCTGCAGGTGGCAGACACATGCTGCTGTGAGGGGTGAGTCCGCCCACTAGGTTTCCTTCCTCGTGAGGTCTGTGAACCATCCTTCCTTACAAAGGAAAGGGTACTCTCTCCCTGTGTGTTTCACCACTAAATTCCCTTTCCTCCGCTTTCTCCAGTCAGATATGTATAGCTTGGGTGTGATCCTGCTGGAGCTCTTTCAGCCGTTTGGAACAGAAATGGAGCGAGTGCAAGTTTTAACAGGTTTAAGAACTGGTCAGATACCTGAATCCCTCAGTAAGAGGTGTCCTGTACAGGCCAAGTATATCCAGCTCTTAACTAGAAAGAACGCATCTCAGAGACCGTCTGCTGTTCAGCTGCTGCAAAGCGAACTTTTCCAGAATTCTGCAAACGTATGTATATATGTATTTTCTTCATTCTTTTTTTTTAAAGTAAACTGCCCAACGTGGGACTCAAACTCACAACCCCAAGATGAAGAGTCACGCGCTCCACTGACTGAGCCAGCCAGGTGCCCCTTGTATATGGATTTTTAATACTGGGGAAAATATGAAGCTTAAAATAGAATTTGAATTGTGAATCTGATTTCACGAGGAACAGTTGAGCTTAGAATAAAGTTTGTGGGAGCCAGACATTTAAACTCCTTCCCAGAGTTCCCAGTAACACACTTTTCATAGTCCAAGAAGCGAGGTGACCACTGCCGACCGTCTACCGTAAACATGTAATTGTAGGCTGTGCTTTTTAGCCCCATCTTGCTAAGTCAGAAGGCTTTCTTTTTCTTTCCAACCGTGATGTATAACCTTTTCTAAATGATTATAACACACCTACTAGTCAAAAGGAGCACCTGGCAAAGGGTGAAAGCAGGAATTCGTGGGGGGAGGTGGAGGGACGGTGGCAGAGACTGCCTTAGCCCGTCTACGATCCTTCCGCATGCAGGTGTGTGTCTGGTTCTCAGTCCTGTGATCGCCCCAGGACACCCCCCTTCCTTTCCTCCTTCCAGACATGTTACAGAGCCAAGCACCGTCCCTGGTCTGCATGTACCGGAGAAACATCCGTTCTGTTTCTCTAGAAACTTTCTGAGGTTTAACGAAAGCTTGATTCAAAGATACATTCGCAGATCCTCTAGCGCTTTGCTCCTCCAAGTGTGGGGGAGGGCTGATGAGAATGCACAGGGTCTTGGGCTCCACCCCAGACGTGCCGAGTCAGAATCCGCATTTAACAAGACACCCCGAGTGAGTTGCACACCCTGTGCTGGAGCAGTATTGCATTCACTGCCCTGGTCCTCACGGTGCAGTCTCCAGGCAAGCAGCATAAAATCCTCAGGAACCTGCTAGAATTCTCAGGCCCTCTCTGGTGCCCTGACCTAGTCTGAGAGAAGTCCCGGGGAGGGCGAGGGAGCAGCGGTCTGTGCTTAACACACACCTGAAGTGGCTCTGATGCACGCTAGTCTGGGAACTATTTGTGCCGTCTGTTTAGTGGACCTGTTTCCTACTTAAGGCTTACTAATTTTCAAGTAAAACCGTGAATTTCACTGGCTTGAATGATAAACAGGTGGGTGTAGTACTTTGCCGAGTCTCTGAAAATAGCAGATGTGGTTATTAAATTTATCTCCTCCTCCCATTTAAGTCAGATATTAGATGGGGTGCCTGGGTGGCTCAGTCAGTTAAGCGTCTACCTTCAGCTCGGGTCATGATCTCACAGTTCGTGGGTTTGAGCCCCGCATCGGGCTCTGTGCTGACAGCTCAGAGCCTGGAATTCTTTATGATATAGCCTACACATGCCTATAGAGATAAAATTTGTACATACAGGCAGTCATTGCTTTGCGTGGTCATACAGACTAAAAATGACCATGCTGAGCTCAAACCATGCAAATGGATATTAGTAGTCAATGGGAAGTTACAGTTGTCCCGTGACCTTTAAAAATGTTTCTCAGAGAGGCACCCACATGGCCCAGTCTGTTAAGCATCTGACTTTGGCTCAGGTCATGATCTTGTGGTAAGTTTGAGCCCCGCATCCGGCTCTGTGCTGACAGCTCGGAGCCTGGAGCCTGCTTCAGATTCTGTGTCTCCCTCTCTCTCTGTCCCTCCCCTGCTCATGTTCTCTCACTCACTCTTTCTCAAAAATAGTAAAAAATTTTTAAATAAAAATGTTTCTCCAAACATTAAAACTTGTCAGTTTCAGATGTACATGGAAACGAAGCCAGTTGTAAAACTAGTATTTAGTGCACTGTGATTAAGAAAGTGTTCAGGAGTGGCGTGAACAGCGCCTGCTTCCATCTCCTAAGTAGAATTTAGGATACAGAATGAACGTCTTTTCTGTGCCTTGGTGCCTTGTGTATTCCTTTTCTTTTTTTTGTTTAACATGTATGTATTTAAAAAAAATTTTTTTAATATTTAATTTTGAGAGAGACAGAGCACGAGGTGGGGGGCAGGGGCAGAGAGAGAGGGAGACACAGATTCCGAAGCAGGCTCTGAGCTGTGAGCTGTGAGCATAGAGCCCGATGCAGGGCTTGAACTCACAGACCGTGAGATCGTGACCTGAGCTGAAGTCGGACACCTAACCGACTGAGCCATCCAGGTGCCCCATTGTTTATGTATTTTTGAAAGAGTGCACACACACAAGTGGGGAAGGAGCAGGGGGAGTTGGGGACAGAGTTTCTGAAGTGGGCTCTGTGCTGACAGCAGAGAGCCTGATGCTGGGCTTGAACTCGTGAACCGTGAGATCCTACCCAAGCTGAAGTCGGACGCTTAACCGACTGAGCCACCCAGGTGCCCCTAACTGTACACTCCTAAGTTTGGATTGGCTCCCAACATTTTATCCTTTGCACTTCCAGTGTTGTGAAAGATCTCCCAAGGGTTTTTCAACATGAATTTTGCTGTTACTTTCTCTGGGACATCTTCGTCCTTTTCCTCATTTATGTTAAGTCATCTTCCTGGGCCCTGGGGCTGCGCATCCCATCTGTCTGGTGGCGGCAGGAGCAGCAGCCCCACAGTCAGCTGTTTCTTCTCGAACATCACTTCGGTGTGATATGGTTTCCCCTCCAGCATCATCGCTTCTCATCAGCTTGGGGCACGTCTGTCTTGGTTGGCTGGTTCCGTTTTCAGTTATTCATTTTATTTCAGTTATTTATTTATTTATTAATTTATTTATTTAAAAAGATCTTAATTTTTTTTAGTGTTTACCTATTTTTGAGAGAGAGACAGACTGCAAGTGGGGGAAGGGCAGAGAGTCGGGGAGACACAGAATCTAAAGCAGGTTCCAGGCTGAGATCTGTCAGCACAGAGCCTGATGCGGGACCGGACCCCATGAACTGTGAGATCATGACACAAGCTGAAGTCGGACGCTTAACCAGCTGAGCCACCAGGGGACCCAGTTATTCATTTTTAAAAACTGTCTCATGGGTTTGTCACTGGGGACGAGTAGGCAACACAACCACACACATTGGCAGTACTGACGCAGTGACCAAGCACTGACAGTCAGAGTGATGCTTGGCCCCTGGTCGTACATCGTGGACTGAGGTGCTGACAGTTGCGGTTATGCAACAGTGGGAACCTCCCCCTCGAACGCGTGGCTGGGTGCCTGGCGCTGCCTCCCTAGCCACGGTAACTGGAATTCAGGCCCACCGGAAGCATGCGGAGGGAGGGATGCCTGGATGTTTAAAATGGAGGAAGCCGTTTTAATGGAGCTTAAAATGTTCTTCTTACAGGTTAACCTCACTCTACAGATGAAAATAGTAGAGCAAGAAAAAGAAATTGAAGAACTGAAGAAACAGCTGAGTCTCCTTTCTCAGGACAGAAGGGCTAAGGACGACACGAAGGACGGGAGTGTGCCCGTCTCGCCTTCGTCAGGCTCTGTAAATGTGACCTTGGACTTCTAATCCTTCCGTCAACTGGAATGTAAATTTTTAGTCTTTATTAGGGTATGGATGGTATACTTGTATTTAGTGAACCTGTACAAGACTTATTAAAGTTGTAGAAGTTCCCCCAAACTGCTTTTCCTTCAGGCATTCTTCCACAAGCCAGCATTCTGGACTGAAGCCTTCTCTAAACTAAACCTATTTTCTTGCCCTTGTCCTTGTCTATGAGTTCCTGATTTTTAATATCACGGTCTCTCCCGTCTCTGAAAGCAGAGATTTAGACACCGGGCTCAATTTGTTCTCCTTTGAGCTCTGCCTGTCGACCACCAAGCCCTCCTCTGGAACATTCTGCACAGATCTGGGTTTGTGCCTATCCCATCACTGCCCACGCCCAGGCCTGCACGCTCGCCGGACTTGATCACTGCCGGTCTTCCTCCCCCTTCCGTGCCATTGCTGCCAGTTAATTACCAGGAAGACATCTGTGCAGATCACTCCCTGGCTCAGAAGCTCCTGCTGGCTGTCTGCCGCCTCTGAGATACAGCTTCAGCTTCTTAGCATTACAGTGTGCATCATCCAGCCTTTCTGTTCCCTTCACCTTCAGCTCGGCATCCTTCCAAAACCACGCCCTTCTTGAGCTTTGTGCCTCTTCCCCCAGATGATCTGAATGATCTCACGGTAGCTCTGGGATGTGTGTACCTGTTCTCCTCCCCGCCCTGTTCCCACGGGGCGCGCCTTTGCTCCCACAGGGCCGGCTCCCGGCCAACCTATGTTCCCCAAAGGCAGCCATGGGAGATGTTCACTGCATCTCAGAAACGTCTGCCACGTAGCCTGCAGCCATCCTGGTATATTGCACACAATGTTGCTGAGTTTTAAATAAAGGAAAACCATAAATTATGATACCTTTATTCATTCTAGACAACTGAGCTAAGCAGACTTTGATTTTAGTACAAGTCCTTTACCCCCAACAGGCAGGAAACAGCACCATTCATGAAGTCAGCCTTTTACAGGTACCGAAATTCACTGAAGGAGCTTGAGGGCGGTGTTGAAGGGGGCCAGGTTCTCACACGCCCTCATCCACTTCTGCACGTTGGCCGGCACTGTCATGCTGCCGCCTCCCGTTTGCTGGAGCACAGACCACAGCACCACATCTGCCACAGTGAGTTCATTCCCAACCAGCCAGGGGCTCTTGCCAAGAGCGGAGTTCATGGAGCGGAACACAGCGGCTTTTTCTTTACTGCTTCCCTCTTTTAGCTGAAAAACCGCTATATCTACCCAGCTATCTATGAGGGTTAAATTCACAGCATTCTGCTTCTGGCCAAACAGAGAGAACAGAAACCGGGCGATGTTCCCTTCTCCTTCGATGGGACACATCGTTTGGACGCTGAACTTCATCTGCGTCTTCGGCACTGAAGGGAGAAAAGCACACCATGTAATGGCCATGAGAGCAGCCCTCAGAAGGAAGTGCCTGAACGACGGGGAAGGGGGTTTGCCAGTTGTGAACTGGTGGCAAGGGAAAGGGGTTTCAAGATCACGATTTTAGCCTGTGTCCAAAAAGTGCACTTTTCAAGAGAGTTTAAACCGGATGGGTGGAGAACGTAAACTCTGCTGAAAGAGTAAGCGTTTCTGGTATTTGATTATGATGGTTTTCAAGCTAGAAAGGCCCTCAGACCATCTACTCCAACCCCTGTGCCTAACAATTTGCAGGATGAGGACTATGGTCACCAGGAGTCCCACGTGCCATGCTGGGAGCTCCGTCTACTTTCACGAGGGATCCTTACGGGTTGCTGAGGCGGCGAGGGGATTCTGGATGAACGGTGCTCACTCCACTACCATATAAACGTAACCAGGAGAGGCATACGTCAGAGGGACGGCGAAGAAAAGGACAGCCTGCCACCCTTTCCAGGCTATTTGAAAAGATAACACTGATGTCCCTGTAATACGTCTGGAGATGGGAGGTCAAGGTGGCCAAGACTGCCCTTTCTCTCCTGCTCTAGCTGGTCAGACAGGATCCTCCCTAAAACCGCTGTCAGAGACGCTAACCTTCCTAGAGGAAGGAGGACATCTTTGCCTCAAGGTTCATCTGTGCTCCTTTTCTAGAACTACCTGACATGCTTCCTAGACTTTGAGAGAATTTGACCTGATAGCAAGTCATGGTCCTGGCCCCTTAGGAAAGGCACGGTGCACGGCTCAGTCAAGGGCGCGTGAGCCCGGCCCAGGGCCGTCTGCTTACCATTCTTCCAAATTAGAGTAAAACCCAGCTGATACTCGTGACGGGGCTGTTTTTTGGTCTGGTCGCCAAAGCACTTGAGGAGGTTTTCTGGCACACTCTTAACTGCAGAGTGCGTGTGAACGGTGGACAGGACCCTGTAGTGGTCACACAGGAGCCTGTGCAGCACGAGCAGGGACAGGGGAGGGGAGGCAGGGTTTGCGTTGATCACGATGTCTTTCAGCGCCCCGTAATCCTGCGGGAGAAACCCAAACGTGAGGAACGTTAACAGCAACTTGATTGTATGTAATTGTACCAGGTGCCGTTCTTAGGGCCTGACCAGTGTTATTTAACTGGGTCCTCGACGCCCACGAAGAAGGTCCTGCTCTCACCCCATCTCACAGCTGAGGAAGCTAGTTCTGGGGGGCAGATGACCCGCCAGGCCCACAGCTCGGTAAGAAGTGGAGCGGGGACGGGAGCCGACTGCAGCCCCTTCACCTCTGCGCGGCTGGCCCTCGACACCGTGAAATCAGGAAAACGACACATGAAGAATGACACCACTGGGGCAGCAGGGTGGCTCTGCCGGTTGAGCACGTGGCTCATGATTTTGGCTCAGGTTGTGATCTTGCAGTTGGTGGGACTGAGTCCCACATCAGGCTCTGCGCTGACTGTGCAGAGCCTGCTTGGGATTCCCTCTCTCCCTCTCTCTGCCCCTGCCCTGCCTGTGGGCGTGCTCTCAAAATAAATACAGGTAAAAAAAATAATGGCACTACTATTTGTTCCTAAGTTATTGAAGAAAAAAAACCCCACACACACGCAATTACTCCATTTACTGAATCTTTCCAACACCAGACCACCTGACAGGACAGTTTCTATGTCAATTTGTGTGTGAGTTACGTGTCAATAGCAAGTCCCCTGAAAAAGGGCACAGTTCCAAATGTCCTTTAAATGGCAAGTGGGCAAAGTCTAAAAAACTAGGTGTTAACTGAAGTGCTATGAAGTGCTAAAATGTACTGCTCTTTTAGATGCAGACTTTATGCATTCATTTTAACTTTCTTTTTGAGAGAGAATGGGCACATGTGTGCAGGAGAGGCAGAGAGAGGGAGAGGGAATCCCAAGCAGGCTCCACACCCAGTACCTTGGAGCCCTAAATGGGGCTCGATTTCATGATCGTGAGTTCATGACCTGAGCTGAAATCAAGGGTCAGAAGCTTAAGCAACTGAGCCACCCAGACGCCCCTCCCTCCTTTTTTATTTTAGAGAGAGTGGGCACAAGCAGGGCAGAGGGGGAGAGAGAGATATTCTTAAGCAGGCTCCACACAGCACAGAGCCAAATGCAGGGCTCGATCCCATGACCCAGGGATCATAACCTGAGCCAAACTCAAAAGCTGCACACTCAACAGACTGAAGCACCTAGGAGGCCCATGTTATAATGAATGAACTCTTAACAACACTCTGGAGGCCAAGTTCCTCGGCTTTCTGTACACAGCCTGCCACAATCTGGCCAAGAGTCTTGCCCCTCCTGACCGAAGCCTGTCAGGTCAACCTACGATGAATGCGCTGCAATTCTCTGAACAGCATCACTTGACGCTGTGCCTTCTGAGGTAACAAAATTCATCTTATGCACCATGTGCCCTGGGAAGCCTTCCCAGCACCCTGACGCACTGGCACAGCTATGTGTGATCGCCCACTCATCAACCCGACTGGCTCCCTGAGGAGCCTGGCTGGGTCTCTGGGTGCTCAGTGCAGGCAGACATACTGGATGAGGAAAGAACCCGAGCGCAGAGGTCCTGAGTTACCGGGACGCGCTGCGACCACACCTCCACGTGTTCACGCTTCCCCGAGAGCTCCACGTCTATCACCGATTCCAGAGGACGGGATTAGCAGAGGTTCTTGGGACCCCCCTTTTGTGCCCTCAATAAACACCACTTTGAAATGAGATTCTTTCTCTGCATATCAGACTGTCACCTAAGCTAGCTAAATCCTGCAGACTGATCACTAAAGGCGGTGCGCGCAACTTAATTCTAAGACCGCAAACTGAATGTAACAAAAGACACTTGACATGTGAGACTGTAGCTGGGCAGTCAACGCTCTGAAGTCCAGGCTGCTGTCAGGGTCAGGATGGACTTACGTGAACCAGAGAAATGCTCAGGTGACCTAAGGTCTGTTTCTCCAGGCTCGGAGGCTGTGAATGACACCCACCTCCGGCCTGCGTCACACGTGGCATGGAATGGCGGGAGCTGTGACCGGACTCCTTTCCTTGCCTAAGGGTGTTCCCAGCTCTTCTCCACCAGGTCTGAGAAGTCAAGCAGCTTTAGTGCTTGCCCTGGCTTTGCTCATAGCTCACGAATCTTGTTTTGTGCACAGGCACAATCATTGAGGGGAGAAAAAAAAGAACATGCTCCTTGTACCCACCTCTGAGAACTGGAAAACCAAAGCTTGAATCACACGAGCACAACTTTCTGGCACTCACAGCAGCCGAGCATGCTGATGTTCTTTAGCTCTCCAGGTGAACTTACCTTTCCAAGCACTGAGTTTAAGTCCAACGCGCTGGTCGAGAAAGCAGCGGGCTCGTCAGCTTGGATTATGTTGGTTACGTCCACGTCTGCGTCTGGTGTCTGAATCATCTTCGAGAGGCCATCAACCGCAGCTTTCAATTCATAGAGACGTTTTAAAATATCATCTTGGCGGGACTCAAGGGCTTGAAGAGATGGGTCGGACTCTTCCTAAACAAACCAACATCAACACGTTCATCTCCTCTAACGTCAAAGCAGCATTTACATTTGATCCTTTGTCTTCTGCTGAGTTCCATGAATTCATCAATACCCCCCCACCTCTGAAAAGAATTAAAATGAAGTAGCAGAATCATCTCATTTTCCAATAGGTCCTGCAAATCGATCCACAAATGTTTCAGAACAAATAAAGAATGTGACTGAAAGCTATTCTGAAATTGTAGGACTATTTCAGGTAATTTAAGAACAGAGGAGAATGATGGATGAACATAAATCTTATTTCTTTATTCTCAGTATCAAATTAGTTCAAAATACTTTGCTTCAACAAACAGAAAAAGATGGGGGGGGGGCAATGAGAATGTAACTGAGAAATTTATACAAATAGGAGAGAAAATGGAGCAGAAGCAGGCTCAACACAAAGTGTCATTGGCTTGGAAAGGTATGTCCATGGAGTCAGATGATCTATTCCCCACATCGTTCTTAAGGCAATGCTGGCACTCTCTTAGAGTCATCCAGAACTTTTTCACACTAACATCCTTTACTCACTGAATCTCTGCATTCTTGCCTGGTATAGTCACTGCTACACAGTGAGTAACCAATAACATTCACTGAGGAATAAATCTCAAACCTCTACAGGCTTACTTTAAAAAGCACTAACAACCCTCTCAATAAAGTCACATCGTACAACCTATTTCCAGATTCACGAGCTCTCATAACGGATAATCCATTTTGAGCTGAGAGAAGAGTATGTTAAGCAAGAAGAAAATGCTCGTAACTAGAAAGAATGGTCAATACGGCAGTGACCTTGACGTGACTGTAAACGTGCACTCACGATGCACTGTATTTTGTGTGCTGGTAAGCCTGATGTTCTCAGGAGCTTTTCTTCCTCGCACAGCCGCTCATAGCACTGCCCTCGCACAGATCTAGTTCATCACCAGGTGAGGTCCATTTCCTGGAGTTCATCGGCTTCTAAGCTTTCCTCAGCTGTCACTGCCCAAGTTGAAGACACCACTTCTCACCTAGCCTGCTTCCACTGGTCACCTTGCTCCCATTGGGGTCACCCTTCCAATCCGTCCCTAAGATGGCAGAGAGATTAAAACAAATGTTGATCCAGTCACCCCACCTCCATGTTAACCTCTTAGGCTCTTTGCCTAAAAAACAAAGCCCTTAAGAAATAGTCTGCATTGGAGCACCTGGGTGGGTCAGTGGGTTGAGTGTCCGACTCCAGCTCAGGTCACGGTCTCACGCTTCATGAGTTCGAGACCTGCATCAGGCTTACTGCCATCAGTGAAGAGCCCACTTTGGAACCTCTGTCCCTCTCTCTCAAAAATAAACATTAAGAAAGAAAGAGACAGAGAGAGAAAGCAAGCCAGCCAGCCAGCCTGTCTGACTTGTCCTCTGGGTACTTCTCACATATCGCTCCCCCTGGAGCTGTGCTCTACCTATGCTGCCCTTCGGGTCCCTAAAACACACCATGTCCCCACCTACCACAGGGCTCTTATTTATTCTGTTCCCTCTATCTGCAACACTCCTCTCTCTTCTCCTAGACCTTAATCTGCACTTTCTCGCCTCCCCTAGCCTGCCACTCTGGTTTAAGCTCCAACAGCAAAGAAACGTAAGATAATTGGCTTGCGGGTGGAGCAAAGAAGAACAAAGACTTCAGTGTGCCAATTAAATAATTAGGGGCTGACTAGAAAGAAGTCTGAATTCAAGATGTGTGACAGGCACGGCAACTCCTGTGTAACGTCCTTGTGTTCTTCAATGATAGTCCTCGAGTGCTCTCCCAGTTTCTTTTAATCAGCCTTATTGGTGCACTGTGTGTGCACAATCGTGCTCCTTTCTACACACGGCAGCAGGGTGTCCCTGACGAGCCAGGGCAGAGAAGCACCTATTGTGTTCACCGCGCCAGTCAACACACCGAAGACGGTCCACGGTCCGAAGACTGACTGGGAGCCCCACTCAGCTTGATTTCACGCCTCCTGGGGTGAGGAATGAGGAAGTGCTCACAATCTGCTTTACCTATGCCATTTTGCTGGCCTGTGGCTTGTTTTCCCGCTCGGATTAGCCTGTGACTCGGCATGTCGTGTTTATCCGTTTTATTTTATTTTATTAAAAAAAAAATTTTTTTTTCAACATTTATTTATTTTTGGGACAGAGAGAGACAGCATGAACGGGGGAGGGGCAGAGAAAGAGGGAGACACAGAATCGGAAACAGGATCCAGGCTCTGAGCCATCAGGCCAGAGCCTGACGCGGGGCTCGAACTCACGGACCGCGAGATCGTGACCTGGCTGAAGTCGGACGCTTAACCGACTGCGCCACCCAGGCGCCCCTATCCGTTTTATTTTAGATGTATTTTAGAAGCGGTTTATTCTTTGTGTTGCTCCCGTTTACCTTGGAGATGCTTGATTTCTAATTCTCTGTCTACTGTTGTCCTGAGCTTAAGAAGTGGGGCTGGCTGGCTTCTAAGTTAGAGGTTCACAGTTAAAAGTCCAAGGAAGTTAAGCAGCACACCAAGAAGAAAAAAAAAAAAAAAAGATTTGGTCTCAAATGAGACAGTGGCACTCCCAACTCTGGGTCTGGGTTTTGTTTTTAATTCCCTGCAACTGTCCTGTGTCCAGTGACGGGCATTGGATCATGGTGCTATTTCTGTCCTAGCTCCCTAGTGAGACAACTGTGTCACCATTTTCCAGCTAACCTAACCACCCGCCTTCCAATCTAGGCAGAAGGCTATTAAAACAAATTGAAGGATAACTCTCCCCGGGAGAACAAAAGTTACCTGTTCACTCATCTTCAGTCAGAATGGAGGGAAGGTGTCTCCTGTTGGAAACCTAAGAAGTGTATCTGCGGCCCATAAAAAACGAAACAAAAAACACGGAAGGCTTGGGCAGAGGCTTTGGAAAAGAGACCACTAGAATGGCCAGCCCTCAGGAAAAGGCGCTCCACTGTCCCAGAAATCTGGAAAACCCGAACTGAAAGGACACCAGGCTCCCCCGGTCCACCCGCCCGCGCTGGGGAGGGTGCCAGAGCCAGGAGCTCCGGGCCCACCGCCGGGGCGCACACGCCGCTTAGGGAGGCGGTGCACCCGGTGCAGGTGCAGGCGGTCCAGTCCCAGGGCGAGCACGCACACCCTAGGCCTGCTCGCGCGCGACAGCGGCCGCTGCGGACCCGCTGCCCGCGATCCCGAGGCAAGCCTGCGGGAGGCGGCACGACAGCGACGCGGCGGTTTGGGGACGCAGGCTTAGGGCGCAGGGACCGCGGAAGTCGGGCCCTGGGGGCGCTGACAACGTTAACCAGGGTGGCGGGGACACCGGGGTTCGCCTAAGGATTCCTCAAAATTAACATTTACGTGCTCCTCACTTTGCTGTGGCCAAAATTTGGTAACAAAAAACCTTAAGTAACCATAAGCGGGAAAAAGAGATACAAGAGGATTAGAGCTTTTAATAGACAAAAGCAGGTACAGAGAACTGGCGGGAGCGTGAAGCCGGGCCTCCACCACTCCCCACTGCAGCTTGTCGGATCTCAGGGCACCAGCCGGAGGAGACGCGACCCTTAGCCCCTCACCCCCGACTGAACCGGCCAAGGCGCCTGCGCACTGGGCGGAAGACCCGGGGATGTGACTTCGCGCTTGCGCACTGCAAAAGGGTGGAAAACGTACGCACAGGGCGGGTGGGGGCGGGGAGGGACGCGCGCTCCTACCTGCACGTGGCCTGAGTCCGGCGCTGGACTGCCGGTTCTGGCGTGCACGTTGGGGAGCCGGTACATGCAGGTGGGAAGCTCTACACGGAGAGATGCGCTGCCCTCGTGATAGGGCTTTACCTGGTACATCGGCATCGTGGGAACCAAAGGACGGAAAGTGACAGATGAGGGACACGAACGCTGAGAAACCGTCCGAGACGACGACACACTGCGGCCACGTCCTTTCCGATCCGGCTGCGGCCTTTCGGGAAAGCGCAGTCCGTGTGGTCTAATTGGCCCGCGCCCTCTTACCTCACGGCCTCGACCTTTTACACAACCAATCAGCAGGAAGGAGGTGTGGGAATCGTAGGCTGCCCCATCCGGAAGGGGCGGGGCACAGTGTCGGAAGCGACCAATGGGCAGCCGGGAGGCCGAGCCTCCGTGGGAGCGGCGGCGGCGGGAACTGTCCCGAGTCCCGGAGGTGGGTCACATTCTGGATCCATGGAGCTAGCCGAAGGGCCAAGGTGAGAGGTGCTTGCAGTGTCCCCTCGCGGTCGCTCTCCCTGAGGTCCACGGCGTTCCAGATTCCTGGAATGGAATGGAAGGAGGACGCAGCGTTGGGCGAGCCGGCGCGGAGGCCCCGGAGCGAGCCCCCCTACCTGCTGCCCTTTGGGCTCGGCGGGAGCATCCGGTCGGCTCCCTGCAGACTCTGCTCGGACGCCGCCACACGTCCATGGACTGGAAGCCAGAGCACGAAGTGCCTGGAGACTGAATTCATTTTTTCTCTGCCTGGTTTCTTTCTTTTCTTTTTTTGAAAATTGAGGTTATTTTGGGGAGGCTTCAAGGCAAATGCTAATTTGCATAGCCGCACCGTTTTTGAAAATGCAGAACTTTTGTATCTCTTCGAGTATGTCATTGCTGGTTAGTAAACTGCATGCAGTTCAGAGCGGCGAATCTTCAGCTAGCACTGTTGAATTCAGTGTCAGCTTCCTGAACCCAGATTCGCGGTCTGTGTTTAAATGTTTCATCCCCAGTCCTTAAAATAAGTATCAGAAGTGGACTTGTTAGCCAAATAAATAAGTTTAAGAGATACTTCTTTCCATTTTATATTGTCATCTGCAGTTTCCACATTTAAGAGAAACCTGAGCGAAATTTTTTTCAAGGTAGAATGAAGAGTAAAGATGTTTGTTCCCTTTATCTTATAAGAGTTTATCGAAGGTCTGCTGTGCGTTAGATGCTGTGGGAGAAGACCCAAAGATTTCTCTCCCATGGAGGCTTCTGGGTTCTGTTACATCCACATTATCAATTAAACTGCTTACAAGAAATTGCTAAATCAACGAACATAAGGAATACGTTCTTGGGATGACAGGAGTTTGCCAGGCAGAGGAGGAAGAGGGGAGCAGTCTAGACCAAAAGATTTGTATGTGTGTCTAAAACAGCTTGTGATATTCAGGAAACAGTTTGCTATTACTAGAATGTAAGGGAGTTGGTGAAGGGAGAGGATTGGAGAGAATGAGAGAAAAGTAGACTGGGGTCCAGTTAGGACGAGATTTTAAACTTAATATAGGAGACAGTGGGACGCTAGTAGATTTTTCAAAAAAATTTTTTCCTAAAGTTTATGTATTTTTTTAGCAATCTGTATGCCCAAGGTGGGACTTGAACCCAGGACCACAAGATCAGAAGTCCCATGCACCTCCGACTGAGCCAGCCAGGTGCCCCAACAGTAGTAGATTTTTCAGCAGAGAAATTATTTGGCCAGATTAATGATTTTTAAACTGATGGTTTCATGGAAGGTGGATTGGAGTAGGGAGAAAGTGGAAACAGATTGGTTGGGAAACTCTTAAAGCAGGTATAGCAAGAACTTTGGGAGAGTCTTTGCTACGGCAGCAGCCAGCAGCCTGGAATGGGAGTGGAGATTCAAAGGCTTTTTTGGGAGTAGTGATAGAACCAGTACCCAGTTTCTAAGATGGTTTTGATTTTAACATAAACGCTGTGTATTGCCCACCATACTTGTGGTTTTTCAAATCGTGTGAGAAATGTTGTTTTCACTTTTTGGAAGAAGATCCCATTGTTGCCAAAGATTATTGACCTGTAGGTTTAAGGGTACGTGTGTCTCCTCCGTGTAGATCCTAGTATAATAAATTTCTAAATACCCATTACATTTGAAGTATCTATTCAGATTTTTTGACAAATGTGTAAGGATCGTAGAACAACGTTTATATTTAAGAATATGCTCAAGGGATATGTTAATATAATAAATGAACGTGTTAGATACATTGACTATTAACAGAGATGAATCATTTCCCGCAGTTAAAGCCAGGATGAAAATACATAAATGCATACTTGCTTTGTTTCTTGTAACTGGTGTCTTTAGTACAGAACTTGCTAAGGCCATCAAGCCTATCGATCGGAGGTCAGTCCATCAGATTTGTTCTGGACAAGTAGTACTGAGTCTAAGTACTGCTGTGAAGGAGTTGGTAGAAAATAGTGTGGATGCCGGTGCCACTAATATTGGTAAGTTTAGAAGAGTTTTAAGCCACAGGAAATAATCAGTTTATACTGTATTATTCAAGAAACATTTGTGATTGTAATAAGACAACCAGATGTTGATATACTGAGAAACTACTATGTTTTAAACTTAAATTTAGCGTCTTTTATGTGCCTAGGTAGGTAGTAATAATAAAAGCAATTAACTTTTATTGTGTTCTTACTAGTGCCACACAGCTGTTTCTAATCTGCTGAATAACCGTATGAGATAGGAATTATTATCACTACTATATTCATTTTATAGAACAGAGAATGAAGGCACGGGAATTTACTTTGAGGTCATAGAGCTAGGAAAATGTGATTCCAGGAAGTCTGATTGCAGAGCCTTTTTTCCGTAATGACTCTTGAAATTATCCTTTTGAAAGAAAGGTAGAAAGGAAGGAAAGAGAGAAAAGAGAAAACTATTTTATCTGGGTTAGTAAATTGCCAAGAAGTCCTTTTAAAGAAAATGAAATACACAAAATGACAGTAGTACATTTAAGTAAGTGTAATTATGACTCTAATTTGTATTACATAAGTTATAAGTAATGTGAGTATAAAGGCTTTTTTACATGGATCAAATAAATTAATTTGTTAAACTTTTTAGATCTAAGGCTCAAAGACTATGGGGTGGATCTCATTGAAGTTTCAGACAATGGATGTGGGGTAGAAGAAGAAAATTTTGAAGGCTTAAGTAAGTGGAGTTTCTCTAATCAAATTTTTTTTTTTTTTTTTTTTTGGTGTTTTACTTATGTTTTGAGAGAGAGACAGAGTACGAGTGGGGAGGGGCAGAGAGAGAGAGGGAGACACAGAATCAAAGCAAGCTCCTGGCTCCAAGCTGTCAGCACAGAGCCCGACGCGGGGCTCGAACTCACGAGATGTGAGATCATGACCTGAGCTGGAGTTTGATGCTTAACGGACAGGCACCCAGGTGCCTCTAGTCTTATTTTTAAATATTTGAGCAAAATGTTTCCAAACTTTGAGTAACACTGTCTTAGGAAACACAAAAACAGCTTTTTAAAACCAGTTGCTTTGGTAGGTGTGGTATTTATTCAGGGGTATATCCCTTGAAATATTTTTGGTCTTACTGTGTACCTCTCTTTCAGCTCTGAAACATCACACTTCTAAGATTCAAGACTTTGGTGACCTAACTCAGGTTGAAACTTTTGGCTTTCGGGGGGAAGCTCTGAGTTCACTTTGTGCACTGAGGTGATAACAATATTTTTATCCACTAACTTGACCCCTTACGAAAATCTCTCTGAACCTGAAAACGTGGGGTTAGAATCATTGTTGTTTATACTTCTCCATGCTGAGTGTCTCAACTTCAAACTTCCACGTTCTGTTTTATCTTACTGCCAATCTAAGTGGTAATACTTCCGAAATGTAAGCAATGAAATGAAATAGTATTGTAAAAGAATTATTACCCTTGTTAAAGCAGTAACTTCTCAATTTTAAAATGGCACGTAGATAATAAGTTACAGATGTGTTGGTTTTGATTCATTTCAGTGTTTAGGAAAAAATTTAACCGAAATGCTTATCATATATAACAGAGTCTAGGTTTTTATGAATAATTACTTACGCATTGGAACTATAATATTTTTTGGATCCTTGTTAAAAGTTTTGTTAAACCAGTAGGAATAAAACTGAGAAATAAATCTTTATTTGTTAATATGTAAGCTGTGAGACCTTTTATTTTGCCGTTTAACCATAAAAACAAGTATCAAAGCTTTCATCAAAACAAAGCATTTATAGAACTCTCTGTCTTACTATTAGGCGCCAAGATTTAGATTCTATGATGACCCCTCACCCATATAAACTTTCTCGATTATCTCAGAGGGATCAGCATTTT